CTACACTACCCTCCTAATTTGAACTAGGAGGGTAATGTAGGCATACCGCACTTGCAAATGAAGCCCGGGATTTGAATTTCCCGGGCTTCATTTGCATAAGACGGGCGCCACTATTTTTAAATCCCGGCTAGTTCGAACCCCGTGCCACGCGCCTACACGCGGCACGGAGTAGCTAGTTCGGATTAGGCTTCTAATCCGAATTAGCTGTACTCCTCGTGGAATGAGGAGTACAGCTAGTTCAGATTAGGAAGCCTAATCCAAACTAGCTACTCCATGCTGCGTGTAGCCGCGCGGCACGGGGTTCGACCTAGCCGGCATTTAAAAATGGCGCCGGCTGGCTTTATGCAAATGAAGGCCGGGAAATTCAAATCCCGGGCTTCATTTGCAACTCCGTATGACTACATTACCCCCCCCAGTTCGAACTAGGGGGGCAGTGTAGACATACCCATAGGCACTACACATACAAACCACTAGTTCGAACTTAATTCGGAACCACTAGTTCGAACTTAGTTCGAAGAAAATCTCTGAGAACAATTCTTAGATGGTGAATGGGGGAGGGAAAGCATAGATTCACACAGAGCAGTCTATATGAAGCCACAAAATAAGGAAAAATACTCTGATCACAACTAGATTAACTTTTTCCCTTTATTTACTCATGATCCCTTCTTGGTTCAGTCCACTTCCATGCCCTGAATTCCTTGGAGTCATGGTAGCCCTGCCTGGGTTTAAATCATTATCTGTCTCTTTAACTCTCCTACACAAAGAAAGCAGGCAAGGTATTTTATCAAATTTAAATTTCAGCACCATGTGCATATTGGTTCTTCTGGCTCCCTGCCAATACCCTTGCTGTAGCTGCTCGGTTCACATCTGAGCCTGCCACTGCGCATTGTCCTGGACTTTCTGGACCAGCATCTGCTGCATGTCCCAGAGGATGGACAGGTGCTTTCTCATGAGGTCCTTCTGGACCCATCCCTCCCGGGGTTGGGCGACTGGCTCGGCTACTGGTGATTGCCCCACAGTCATGGCTGATCTGGTTAGGAAGAATAAAGAGAGGTGGTCAGTCTTCCCTGGAGACACTGGCACTGAGACCTTGCCCTCATCAGTGAGCCGAGAGCAACAGTCTCCGAGTCAAAGGAAGGTGATGTCCCGGAAGAAAGGCCATGTGTGGCCTGGACACTGGGCCTTGCCTCACAGCGGCCCAGAGTTCTCAAGGGGACCGTGCTTCCCACCACCCTCCTCCCCACCCCACGGACAAGCAGGCAAGGGAAGTGTCTGGCCACACTGGGATCCAATGGCTGGGAGAGGGGCCTCAAGCTGCCTGTGCTTCCATTGGGTCCACACACACACCTGTGCCTGGCAGGTCCCTGGAAATGGGTGATGCCTCGTGCATGCAGGCATGCCCATGTACCGTGTGCAGCACTCCAGTGTCTGTGTGCGTGTGCCCTTGTCCCCAGCCTCCTTCCAGGCTCCAAAGTCAGCATAGTGACAGTGCTAGCTGTTTCCTTCTCCTACTTCCTCATCATCATACTCGTGGGCTGAGACCCCCGGGCAGACAATGACGGACGTTTCTAGCCCAAGTCCTCCACCAGGGGCGGGGCAGAAGCTGCACCGTCCCCAGAATGCAGTGCAGTTCGTCATAATAGGATCAAGAGTGGGGTCCTGCCTCAGAGCGTGAGCTGTGCTCCCTTACCCTGGCATAGGCCTGCCACAGCTCTTTAACTTTGCTGCAGACTTGCTCAGGGCTCCTGTTGTGGCCAGGCTGTCGGCCATCCAGCCATATGTATCGGCATTAAGCCATCTGAAGCGGAGATTCTGGAGGTTCTCCTCATTGCCCCATACCTCCAGGAGAGCCAGGATCTCCACTCCAGACCAGGTCGGCACACGCCTTTTGCGGCCCCTGGCAGACCCATGGGAGCCCTGTGCATGCTCCCTGGGAGGGACAGTGGGCTCTTGTGGGGCTTGTGGCTGGGATATAGTGCTCACATGTCAGATACTGGAAGCTGCTCAGTGTCTGGAAGCTCTTAGGGCCTGCTTCCCGTCACAAGCCCTGTCCCGTGTCTGCAGTTTTAAGAGCTGCCGGAAGACAGGAACTATAAAGTTGTGATGAGTGTGGACGGAGTGATCAGCAAGGCACCTGTGTTATTTCCTGGAGGCCTCTTTTTTAAAAATAACTCTCTCTTCTGCATCCACACACACCTTTTTCCAAAAAAGCTTTTTCGGGAAAAGGCTTATTCCTTGTAGAATGAAGTTTACTACTGTCACAAAAAGCCGTCCATTATTTCAACTTTCTGTCAAAATAACAGAATGGCAGTGCGGATGCTAGTATTGTTTTTCCGGAATAACGGCTGTTATTCCAGAAAATGGTACAGTGTAGACGCACCCTAACTAGGACCAGCCAAATCAGTTTGGCACACACCAGAATCTTTGCCCAAAAGAGCTGAAAGATATTTTGTTTTGATATTTCTTGTTTTCCCATCCTGCCCCTGTGTTGGTGGTACAAGTAACTACAGAGAAAGCCACACTACCAAAAGTGTACCCCTGCCAATAAAGGGACAAAGAATAGGAAGGTTTTTTTTTTTTTGCAGTGCTCCAATTTGCTATATCTAATTGCCAAACTTTATAAGCAAAATACTGTTTTAACGCCTATACCAGGTCACAGAATTTAAAG